TATAGGGCTCATCCATCCTGGATTCCCTGTATTTTCAGTTCCTATCTGTACCAGTGTACCTCCTCTGGTCTAGCCAGTCTTGCAAGATAGAATATGAATATATTTTTAGGTTATCAAATTGAGGCTCCAGAATGGTGGTTCTCAACCTTCCTATAACCACAACCCTTTAATACAGTTCCTCATGTTGTGGTGACCCCCAACCATAAAATTATTTCATAACTAATTTTGCTACTGTTATGAATCGTAATGTAAATATCTGATATGCAGGATGTATTTTCACTGTTACAAATTGAGCATAATTAAACATTGAGCATAGTGATTAATCACAAAACAATGTGTAATTGTAGATTGTGAAATATTTATGTGTTTTCCAAGGGTCTTAGGCTTCCCCTGTGAAAGAGTCTTTCGACCCCCAAAGGGGTTGTGACCCACAGGTTGAGAACAGCTGCTCTAGAACATCTTATTGACCAAAGGCCACAGTTGTTTGCTGACATTTCCTCCCCAACTCATGCAAATTGAATTCCCTTTTTTGCTTGGGATTACTGATTCCATGGGTAAGATCATTCATTTAAAGACCTATCACTATTACTATAGTGAAAGTAAAGTGAATTCTTTACTTTCCTGAAAACAAGAGCATTTTCTTAGTCCTGTTATCTTTATGCCTGTGGAGTGAAGACTATAATTTTACATTTTATCTATAAGAAAAAACTAGTAATATGATTATCTTAACTTTCTCAGGTTGTACCATTAGAAAAGGAAACAAGTGTGACTTAGATGTTGTGGTGGATTAATAGTGCTTGTCTGTTAACTGAGAGGTTGGCAATTCAAATTCACCAACTGCTGTGTGAGAGAGAGATGAAGCCGTCTGCTTCAGTAAGGTTTACAGCCTTAGATTCATTATAGGGCTTTTCTACTCTGTCCCGTGGGTCACTCTGAGTCACAGTCAGCTCAGCAGAAACAGGTGGGCATGTATGACTGAGCTAAAGCTTAAGTGTGTGGTAAGATAGTAGAGTATGCTAATCCAAACAAATCTCCTAAAAATATGTTTTTCCACTACAGTGTACTGACTGTAATAATATACTGACTGGTATTTACACGTTTGATTTAGGATTCATTTCATACATTGAAGAAATGGGTGAAGGAACTAAAAGAACATGGTCCCGAAAACATTGTAATGGCTATTGCTGGAAACAAATGTGACCTCTCAGATATTAGGTAAGGTGCCTTTAACAAATGTTTTCATGTGTTCATTCATCCCTGAAGTCTTTCTACAAAGAGCTATTTTGCTTGTGTTGTTTCTCTTTTCATTGTAATTATTTAATATATAAGTATTTGGGCTAGTCAACATGGCATTTATTTAACCAAACTAGATTTTAGGAGAAATGAAAATTTTCATGACTATTAAAATGAAATCATAACAGAGTTATAGACTAGATTGCTTTATTATTTTTATGGTTACTAGTTCCATAATTATTATATTACTACTATTCATCATTTTAATAATGGGTAGGAGATTTATAAAACTTTCCATAAGATCCCTGTCTATTTTAGTGCTAGACTTTAACTTCAAGATGTGGTCAAGTACTTATAATCTCACTGTTTTGTTTTAAGATCTGAATCTAAGAGCAGTGTCCCATTTTATATGTACACCTCGGCTTCCCCCAGAGACTTTGGATTGTTGAACTTCCTTTGGGAGAAAGATTTGTTAGGAGTCCACATAGATTAGAGATTTGATGATAGCTTTATCTGGTCTGATAAGCTAGCTCTCTTACTAAATAAATGTTAGAAAAAAGAAAATAATGATTTTTGTCTCCCTCCCCAAGTAATTTAATTTTACTGTCAGGAGTTACAATAGTTGATATGATAGCTACATTATGTTTCAGGTTTTGCTAATCCAAATGTGATTAAACCACAGTTAAATAGACAAATTGGATCTTAACGTGGCATTTGATAATGTTCTATTTTTTTTTATTATTTAAAAAAAATTTTTTTAATCATTTTATTGGGGGCTCATTCAACTCTTATTACAATCCATACATACATCCACTGTGATGTTCTATTTCTTTGGGATTTCAAAAGCTTTATATCAAATTGCATTATATTGATTTATAATAGTAGCTATAAATGCCTTATCATTATTTGTTTTTCTGGGAGATGGAAGAGTCTTTATTTTTTTATTTTGTTAATCCTTTTATTGGGAGCTCTTACAGATATCATAACATTCCATAGTTCAATTGCATCAAGCATTATTGTACCAATTGCTTCCACAATCAGTTTCAAAACATTTTCTTTCATCTTGAACTCCTTGATTTCAGCTCCACTTTATCCCCTCCTACCCCCACTCTATCCCCCAGGAACCTTTATTTATTTTGTGTGTGTGTGCCATATCTTTCACATATAATTCTGTTGTTTGATCCCACCAAGTGGGGTTATACAGTCATCAGTGCAATCAGCTCCCTATTCATCCCCCCCCCCTTCCTGTACCCTCAGGGAATGATTACAGTTTACTGTTTATAAAGGATTATCTATCTTGGCTTTCATGTATCGAACAATCTTAAATATACAAATGAACCTACACACATCTAAAATGATTAAGGAGGTAAGACAAATAAAAACCATAATAGTAAGAGGAGAAAATGTTAAAGAACTAGAGGATAGTTACATGTTTCATAAATGCTATAGCGCACCCTGGATTTATATTCCCTTTCATGTGGCCCTTCTGAGAGGGACTGTCCAATTATTTTACCGGTGGGTTGTGGGTCTCCACTATATCCACGCCACTTCACACCAATTTGGTTTCTTGTTTGTGAACTTCTGATATCTTTTCCCATTAACACCTCATGGTTACACAGGCTACTGTGCTTCCATGTGCCCTTTGCTGCTTCCCTGATAGATGCATGTGTTTAACTGCAAGCCTTCAAGACCCCAGACACTATATATTTTAATAGCCAGGCACCATCAGCTTTCTTCACCACATTGGCTTATGGACCCAGTTTGTCTTCAGCCATGATGTCAGAAAGGTGAATATCACACAATGCCACATTATTAGAACAAACTGTGCTTGTACTGAGGTAAGATTTAAGTACAGGCCCAAAATCCATCTGCTTCCTTGTTGAATTTACATATATATACATAAACAAATACACATATATTTACATTTTTGCATATATACTTCAGAGGGGTACCCCCAAAAAAGGGGTAAAAAGCTCTGCGGGGTGAGCTTTTGTAGTACGCATTTTTCCCAATAGGCTAGCATAAAGAAATTCGCTCTCAGGTAGTGCACCCAGTGGTGTTGTCTGGGAAGGTTCTCTCTAGTCACAGTGAATTCTTTCATAAAAGCAGTTTCACCCAAACTTTGTTTTTCTATGATGGCCAATGTAAGAGAACAGCAAGTAGCTGTGACATTTTGTTTCCACTCAGGAAAAATGCCGCACAAACTGTTGTGCTTACAAGGACAGCACTATGGGAAAACTCCAGTGTACAGTGGTTTTCTCATTTAAAAAGGTGAAATGCCGATTGATGAGACAAATCTTATTCTGAACATCTGTCAACTTCCTGAATGCACGAAAATATGTATGTCCTTGTGCTCAAAGACTGACAACAGACCATTGAGGAGATGAAGTTATCTGGACTATCCTGAAGCTCAGCGCAATGGATTTTAGCAGAAGATTTGGGAATGAGAAGGGACACTGCAGAGTCTGTGCCTTGGGTTCTGACTGACCAGGATAAAGAGCATCGAGTGACAACTTGCTGTGCTTTGAAAGAACAGCTCTGAAGCTACCCAGACTTTCCCCCCAAGGTCATTACAACCCCAAAAGCAAACATCAGGCAAGCCAGTGGAAGACATCATCACCTCGCCCCCCAAAAAAGCTCATCAAGGGAAATCAAAGATCAAGACGATGCTCATTTGTGTTTTTGATGTGAGGGGGATAGTGTATTTGGAGTTCGTTCCAACAGTCGTTAATCAAGCTTTTTATTTACAGATTCTGAAAAGACTGCATTAAAGTGTGCTACAAGAAAACCCTGATTAGTGGCACACAGGGAACTGGTTTTGCCACCATGACAATGCACCTGCTCATACAGCTAGCTCAATGCACCAGTTTCCGGATAAAAACAGCATGCCTCTCTTACCCTACGTACCTTATTCTCACTTTGTGCGATTTCTTTGACCTCACTTTGTGCGACTTCTTTTTGTTTCTGTGAATGAAGAGGGACATGAAAGGACAGCAATTTGACGACATAGAAGTGGTGGGAGAAAAACAAACTGAGGGAAGTGCTGTCAGCCATCCAAACAGATGAGTTTAAAAATGTTTTCAAGAATGGAATAGAACAAAAAAAAAAGAATGGAATAGATTTGAGAAATGTATTAAGTGTAATGGTTGTTTTGTGAAGTACTTTAAATACATAGCTTTGGGAAAAAATCCAAGTTTTGGGGGGTACACCCTCGTGTGTGTGGGTGTGTTTGTATTTTTTTTTCTTCTTTCCTCTTTTCCACTATCATGTTCACCCACTGTTCACGTCTTATAATTCCTCTCAGAATCAATTCTAATGATCAAACATGACCAGAAAAGCTACACCCATCTCACCATCAGCTTTAGAACCTTTACTATTCCCCTGAACCCAACATATTGGCTCACTACTCCCCTCCCTGGGTCCTCCTCTCCCATGCCCCCCAGGAACCATCGGTCCATTCACTGTCTCTGTAAGATTACCTATCCTGCCTATCTTGTACAGATAAGTACCCCCAAACAACCCAAAACATACAGATAGTCACCAGGCCAACAGGGAACATGACATAGAGCAGTTGGATATCTCTCTGTTAAATAGAGAGAAGGACATGTCATAAACCATCAGCCCTGTCCCCATTTCTTTCAGGCTTACCTATCCTGGGTCCTGCTTACCTAACAATACATACTCCCTTTTAATCGTAAACATTCGTGTCCAAAAGGCAAGCATCCGCAAAGTCCCCAATGCTATCCCTGCAGTCAGGGATAACAAGGTCTGGTGCCCCCACCCCCGTTACACCTTTAGGCTTTCACTGTGGCTCCCTTGTGAGTAATACCCAGCCAGTTCAGGTGGGGTGCCAAGTGCTGCCTGGGGACTTCGTGGCTTCACTCTCATCACTGTTCTGTTGCACTTTGCTCTTAGTTTGCCCCTATGGGCGGGTCAGACTGGCCACTGTCCTCGAACTTTATCTTCAGTACTGTCCTCTGCAGCGCTGTCAGCTAGAGAGGATGCCACGTCTAGAGCTAAGGCCGGTGCTGCAGTCATCTCTGGGAACAAGCTACTCCAAGCAAGAACATCACCCTCAAGGATTGGCACACTGGAATGAGGCCTACTCTCCCTCTCTCTTTCCTGTGGAATAAAAACAATAACCTCCCCTTGGGTGGGTTAGTCCCCAGGTCCCCGTTGCTGTCATTTTTCTTCCCCCATCGCTCTGTGGTTCTTAAAGGCATGTGAGAAGAGGTGAAAAAATGTCTTTCATCACAGGTGCTATCTATATTTGTTTTTGGTGACATATGAATCCGGTTTGGTCTGGCTCATGCCAGAATATATGGTCCCCAGCCTGAAAATTGTGTGTTGTTTGCATTTTCCCTTGTGTCCCTCTACTGTTTCCACTTACCTCAGTAGACTTTTTCCTTTTGTGCTTGGCTAACCTCACTCAGCATAATATCTTCCAACTCTTTCCACGAGATAGGTGTTTCATTGTTTCATCACTATTTTTTAGGGATGTGTATAGTATTCCATATACCAGAGTGTTTTAATCCATTCGCTTATTGATGAAAATTTAGGTTTCTAATTTGTTGCGATTGTGAACTTCAAAGCAATGAACATTGGAGAGCAGATGTCTGGTCATGGTCTGTTTCTTATTTCTTCTGGGTATATGCCCAGTTGTGGAATAGTTGGGTCATATGGTAACTCGATTTCAATCTGTTTCAGTTATCCGCAGATCGCTTTCCACAGAAGCTGTACGTATCCACAGGATCACTAACAGTGAATGAGAGTTCCTATCTAACCACACCCCTGCCAACATTTGTTGCTCTCTGTTTTTTTGTATTGGAATAGCTTTGTGGATATTAGGTGGTATCTCATAGTTGTGATTTGCATTTCCTGGATGGCTAATGATCGTGAACATTTTCTGATGTTTATTGGCCATTCAGGTTTCCTCCTTTGTGAATCTTCTGTTCCAGTCTTTTGCCCATCTCCTCAGTGGGCTATTAGTTTTTCCTTGTAAGTTTATAAGATTCTGTAGATTTTAGTAATAGACCCTCTGTCTTATATGTTCTTACTAAATATCTTTCCCCAGTCTATGGGCTCACATTATTCTCTTGAAGTCTTTCAGTGTACACAAGATTTTTATCTTTAGTATGTCCCACTTGTCTATTTTATCTTCCTCTGGGTGTATATCATTCTTTATTTCTGATAGTCCATGTATTCCCTGTGCTAATGTTCTTAGCTTTGTCTCAATTTTCTCATTGATGATCCTGATAGTTTGGGGTTATATCTTGAAGTCTTGATCCGCCTTGAATTTGTTATTGTGTATGGAGTGAGGTAAGGGTCTTGCTTCATTCTTTTGTAGGTTGATATCCAGTTTTTCCAGTATCATTTATAAAAAGGGTATCCTGTTTCCCATTTGATATTTTTTGGCCCCTTATCAAAGATCAGCTGTCTGTATGCTGCTGTTTTTATTTCTAGATTTTCTGTTCTTATCCATTGGTTTGAGTAGCTATCGTTATACCGTTACCGTGGTGTTTTGACAACTGTGGCTGTGTAATAAATTTTAAGGCCAGGTAATGCAAGCCCACCCACTTTATTCTTTTTCTTGAGGCGTTCTTTGCCATTTCTGGGCTTCATCCCTTTCCACATGAAGTTGGTAGTCAGTCATTCCATTTCTTTGAAAAATTATACTGGTATTTGTATCAGGATTGCATTGAATTTATAAAGTGCCTTAGGTAGGATTGACATCTTTAGAATATTGAGTTTTCCAATTCACGAGGATGGGATATTCTTTCATTTGTGAAGTTCCCTTTTGGTTTATTGTAATGTTTTGTAGTTTTCCTTATACAGATCTTTTGGTTTTTTGGTTAGGAATATCCCTAGACATTTCAAATTATGCTTGGCTGTTGTGAAGGGTACTCCCTTCTTGATCACTTTTTCTGTAATCCCATCACTTGTATATAGCAATCCAATTGACTTCTGCTTGTTGATCTTGTATCCTGCTGTTTATGTCATCAGTAAGGGTCCTGGTCAACTGTAGGCTATTAGTAGGTATGTTTTCTGGAAGTCAGAAATTGCACTTGGATTTCCAACTGGGTAGGAGCCTGCATTCCTAATCTCTGCATTGTTCAAGGGTTAATTGTATAAGAATCTGTTAGAGCTCTCGGGGGAGAGATATACTGTACCTCTGTCCTTGGCTCCGCGTGAGAAAGAATTCACACCAAAGCTTGGTTTGTGATCCCAGTGAGTTTATAGAGAATAGAAGCAGTTTCAGGTCCTACAGTAAATGGAACTCAAGCCAGACAGAGTCCACGGCACAGTTGCGGGACTGCGGCCTGGCCGCTCTGCACTGCAGCTGGCTGTGCTACATCGTGTAGCAGCCGCTGGGAAAGAGAGCCCAGAGCAAAACCTCTGGCCTAATCAGGGGCGTGGGGAGGTATGGTTGACAATACTGGTCCACCCCATTGGCTGAATCAAATTCATCTGGCTTAGATGGGCCAATCCAGGTGTAAAGCCCACCTAGGTTTACCACCCCTTCCTGGCCAGAACCTAGAACCTCTGAGCATGCGTAATGGACGCCCCAGTCCTTATGCTAGCTACCTAACAAATCCCTTTACTGAAATGTTTCAAATGTCAGAAATCTTGTTACCATGGGAAAGGGTGGGGGTAAAGCAGAGATGGTACCAAGGAGTTCAAGAAGAAAGAGGATATTTTAAAACTGATTGTTGTACCAATTGTACAATACTGCTTGGTGTGATTGAACTATGGAATGATCTAATATGTGTATTACCTCCCAATGAAAAAATTTTTGGGGAAATATATATAGTCATCAAAATTTTAAGAATAACAATTATGAGAGGCTTGCCTGTTAGAAAGAATAAATAAAGCAGACTTAAAACCATAAATTTGGCATAGTGTGCCTTCAGTAAGAGACGTAAGGGATGTACAGATTCCAGTGAACATGTTTTAAAGACTTATTTTTTCTGGCTCTAATCCCGAGGCACTTGTTTTTATTATGGTTTCTGAAAATGGTTCCTCTCAAAAGATCTGGGGTCCGTAAAGAATTAAATGCATGTTAGAAATTCTGTAGTAACTATATAAATCAGTTCAAAGCCTTTATAAGGCATTTGAGGCAGAAAGGAGACTTGGGAGATGGAGTATATCTCTTCCCTCCTTTCACTTTTGATTTTGGATCCACCTTATTTTCTTTTCCATGGTTTTCCTCCTGGTGGGGAACTCTGGCTGCCACAAATGATTTGCAGTCAACGACTGACCTGAAAGGTGAGTGGTTCCAATCGACCCAATGTCACTGCAGAAGAAAGGCTGGCGATGCACTTGCGTGAAGATCATGGCCCGAAACCCAGGGAGCACAAGTCTGCCCTGTAATGTGAGGGGCCCATGCGTCAGAACTGACTGCAGTAGGAGGTTTGGTTTCTGTGTTTTTTCCTATTTTTATTTATCCTTCTGGTCCAGGATTTTATTTATCATCTCTTGTTTATAACATCGTAAGAGCTTCAAAAGGTGTCTCTTTCCCAGCCACGCTTCTATTTCTAGAAATGGTTCTTTAAAAGTATCTTCCTAGAATGTGGGGCTGACCCTGTCAATCTTTTTCTCTTCAGTGGCTGTTGGGTTCAAGTTAGGCTTCATGTGTGCTGCTACTTCCTGCCTCTCGGAGCTCAGAGTTGACCTTCCCTTCTTTCAGACAACATCCCATTCCTTTTTCAAATCTTTCCAAGGTACCCAGAGCATTGCTTGGTGCAGAATTAACTTTTAATACTGTATGAGAATAAAAGCCTCATTTAGACTGTTTCCTTGCGTGCAATGACCTTCCATCACACATTCTTGTCCATGTTCTAGCTGTCTTACATGGCCATACTTAATCTCCTCCAGAGCATCTTTCTGGGTCTCTTTGGTCAAAACGTATCACTTTCTACCTCCTTACTCCTGAAGCACTGTATTGTACACTTTTGCCGATGTTGCAAGGTTATAAAGGAGTTCTTTTAAAGTATAGGTTCCAGAAGACAGGGACCATTGTTTTCTCTAGCACCCACAAAAGTGATTCGCCTACAGTAACTGCTCAATAAATATTTGAATAAATAAATTAAGGAAATGTGTCTTTTTTGTGTTAGGATCTACTATAATATCTTCATGTTGAAAATGTGCGAACAACATTTTCAGATCAATCATTTAAATGTCCTTAGACCTCCACAGGAACAAGGTGTTAAAGTGCAAGTCCAGGTGTGCCCTATTGCATCAGAATTGTTGTAGCTGCAACCTACTCGGTTCCAGTCCTCCACGTTGGGTTGCATAATCTATCAAAATAATTTCTCTAATTTGTGAAAGATATGTATTAAAAGTCTTACAAAAGCATACACACACACACAAAAACGTTTTTTAAAACTGTCTCACTGGGGAGGGGGGTGGACGCCAACCCCCATGATAGCTAAAATGTGAAATGCTGTACTTAATTATTTTTCACCCTTTTTTGGGAGGCCAGGAAACACTGTTTTATAAATGCACATCTTATTTCCATGGAGGTGTCCAATTTAAAAATGTTTCACCTGTACTAGGTTTGCAATATCTGTTCAGTGATTAAGTTGCTACTATTTTATAGGAGCAATCAAGGAGATGTCCTGCCCCCCTCCCCAGAGCTTTTCGTTTAGCGTGCTTTGACTCCTTGCATCTGTCAAGAGTATTCAACTGTGTATGGGTTTGGCCTCTGTTTTTCAGGGAGGTTCCCTTGAAGGATGCTAAGGAATATGCAGAATTCATAGGTGCCATCGTGGTGGAGACAAGTGCCAAGAATGCTATTAATATTGAGGAGCTCTTTCAAGGAATCAGTAAGTATTTGAAATTGTAGTTTCAGCTTAGCATGTGTTTTTATGCTCTGGGAGTTCAAGGATAAATCCATAGAGTGCTGAGGTGAAACTGTTAATCATTGTGAATTTATCTGTTGCCATAGATATAAAATTTACAACTATATATTTTGTAATATTAGTAGACTTCTGTTGTAACTCCCTACCCTACATTTAGAAAACTCGTCTTCCCCAATCAGTGTTATGCAAGTTAAAATGCAGTAACCCTCTTGAAAAAATGAAATTTAATAGGAAAATAGTATATTCTATAGCAGTTTATGTTAATATGTGGAGAGGAAGAGAAATAAAACAATTATAAGGCATAGAAAACTGAAATAACCCTTAAACTGACAGACAATTAGAGAGAACCTTTTAATAATTTCTTCTGCCTGATGGCCTGTTAGCAAAAGGCATCAGTCCATCCTATGTTTTCCGAAATTGCATGGAGAGTCCATTCGTAGAGATTTTGTCATTTTTTGATAAGCTGTTGGGCAGTAGGAGTCCCTGGCTGGTGCAAATGGTTGGTTTGCTCAGCTGTTCATCAAAGGACTCCTTAGAAGGAGATATAACAAAATAATAATAATTAATAAATTATCAAGGGTTCATGAGG